GGCACAGCAAGATCACCAATGCCAGGATACCGATAAGGGAGCCTAATCCCGCCCACTCCTTCAAATGATCCACAGCTGTCAAAATCCAGGAGGAAACATCCTGTAACAGGGCATCATCCATCCGGGTAGAGTTTACCACGACAATGGCCGATCGTAGCTGCAACATCAATTGGTCGAATTCTCCCGTCTAGTTGCCTAAAAGATAACTTGACAGTTGTTTAGACAAATTTGCTGCCTGAGTATAGTTATAGTACTGAATAGCAGTAATACAAAGCCCTTCATATTTTTGAATACATCCCAGCTGAGCCAACTGCCACATGATATCAACCTGTTCCTGCACAAGGTCAATCCTTAGATTTAACAGCATCAGTCCTCCTTTTAATTGTGCAAAGGCCACTTGTTGTAGATCCAGAGCTCTGGCTGTAGTAGCCGACAAGTTAAAGTTTGAGCCGTCTGCACAGTATGTGACATGGCGACAGCGGCAGCCGTCGCACCCGCAGCAGCCACAGCTATAGCAGTTACAATGGCCACAGTGATGCCAAAATCTCTCTTATGTCTAAACAAGGTTACAGCTTGAGAAGCATCTACTGGCACGGGCACCCAACGCGGAATGCGTGTAACTATAGCTAACGGATACTGAGAACTCCAGCAGGTAGCATAATAGCAGGTTTTATTAGTGCAAGCACACACATCATCTGAGCATATAGAGATGTTGTTAATTACCAAAAACACAAAAGGGGAAACCACACACATTAGCAAAGCGACCTTGTCCTAAGAGCATATCTCTGTCCCAAGCCGGGTGTCCGTTTGCTTGATTGATGGCTGCCTGTTCACTACAAAATTCCAGCATAAATGCCCTCCAATCCAAGTACTGGCCTGGACTCAAACATGCCCGTGCTAGGCTTGCCCAATCAGAGGGAGTCATGCAGTATCTCTTTATAGCCTCCACTTGAGCTACAGTAAAAGAGGCTGTAATCCCATACGTCCGAACAGACTCAGCCAGGGACTTAATTACTTTAAATTCTAGAGGCTCATGAAATCTCTGTTGATTACCGTCTTGAAAAACTGGGAAGGCGAGTTCTGCTCGGGCAGTCCGCCAAGTATCCGGGCAAAACGTATGCCCATTGGCTCCATGTTGATATGGAGGAGGACCTAAGGGGACTTGACCGGAAGTTCCTTTTACGTCATCTAAAGGGGCCTGACCAAAAGTTCTTTCCACATCCTCATTAAGCACAGGTTGGCTTAGCTTATGTTTTCCCTTTTTTATACGACTCCTTTTCATCTGTTGAATAAGTGCTCTCACTTCTTCCTCCTCTAGCTCACTGGAACTTTCTCTTTCCGATTTCAGCTCAGACAGATCTGGGTATAGTTGCCCCCTTTTGTCCTGTTTACTGTCTCCCTTTTCACTGATCGCCTTCTCTGACCTCTCCTCCTGTAACTGCTCCAGTGCTGACTGTCCGTTTTCTATAACCTCACAGCAGCGCTGGTCCTCCAGGCAGCCCCTTATCAGTTTCCAAATGGTGCGGACTCCTGCCTTTAATGTGCCCTGTTCATAGGCAAAGTCCAAATCCCTCCCTAATTTTTCCCACAAAGCTACTGTAAGGCTCCCGGACACTATGAACCAAGGAGCTACAATGTTGCATTCTTCAAGGAAACTCTGTAAAACACCCTTCTTAAACTTTAGTCCTTTTGAGCGTAGGAGCTCATTCAGGGCCAGAAAAATTGGATGAGACGTCGCGGCGCCCATCTTAGTTATAAAAATTTTATCTTTTTTTACTCCCTTTTTTATTTTTTATATTTATATTCTTACTTTCACTTTAGGCCTTTATTTTTTCCCGGGTTTCCGCTCTCTCTTTATCTACAGAGAAGAGCCCCGTATTATGCCCGCTTTAATCGCGGATTCCCACTTACCTGGGAACTTACCGGTGCACCACCCTGACTGCTAAGAGTTCTGGATCCCTTGTGGAGTTAGTTTCCCCGTACGGGCCACCACTTGTCGCATCCACCTCGACCAGCAAGGAAAACACGACCCGGGATTCTTCTCAAAGCAGTTTATTCAGGAACCTTGATTATTAGCTTCTTCTCGCCCCGCACCCGCACTCCGGTTATAAGCCTCCTGGATGGCCAATCCCGAGGTGCCACGTGGCATATACCAATAGGGTCGCAAACACGGAAGTAAGCCAGTAGCCAAGCCATAGCCATATAAGGAGTTGTTTTTCACAGAGAGCACTCGCCATCGGGAAGGCGGAAGGCGGAAGCCAGCGCCATCTTTGGCTTGACCGTGCCATGCGGCCACGCCATCTTTGGCCAGCTCCCGCAGCTCTCCACAGGGAAGGAGGGAGGGAGGGATGGAGGAAGGAAGGAAAGAAGGAAGGAAGGAAAGAAAAAGCACCAATAATACCCTAAAGTGCCTAAAAGAAATAAACCTAATCCCTATCCCCACTGGGCCATTTCTGCAACTCAACCCATCTTGAAACTCAACAAAAAAGATGCCAAATAGTAAGACACAAGCCAAAATCTAAACATGGGGGGAATACATACACACACACACACACACACACACACACACACACACAACATGAGTAAGAACTAAAACACAAACACCTAACAAATCACACACACACACACACACACACACACACAACCTGAGTAAGAACTAAAACAGAATTAAACACCTAACAAATCAAAATACCAAGCGCCTTTAAAATAACTAGAAAAAAATGAATAGAAGATGAAAGAATTCAAATACATTGGGTATTAAAAAAAAAAAAGAGGGCTGGGTATGCAAATCAGTGGTAGAGGGCTTGTTTAAGGCCCTGTGTTCAATTCCCACACAAGAGAGGGAAAAGCAGTTTCAAAAAGAAGACCAACAACCCGGTGCCAGTGGCTTATGCCTCTGGAAGCTGAGATCTGAGGATCTAGATTCAAAGTCAGCCCAAGAAGGAAAGTCCCAGAGACTCTTATCTCCAACTAACCATAAGTAAACCAAAAGTGGTACTGTGGCTTAAAGTGGTAGAACACTAGTCTTGAGCAAAAAGAGCTCAGGACATTGCCCAGGCCCTGAGTTCAGGCCCTACAACCAAAAAAAAGAACTTGCCTATATTGCAGGCAGGTAGGAATCTGGGGCAGTACAGTAGTACCAGACAAGTACCATACCAGACAAGTGTTTCTTACACAAATATTAATTTACTTATTTTGAGTCAGTACAGTATTGCTCACTAAAAGCAGACCATATTCAATCCAAGGACCACTTTTTATATCGCTCTCACGCTAAGAACTGTTTTCACAACTTTTAAAGTGGGAAAGAGGGTGAAATGGCAGGGAAAGAAGAGTTGGAGGAGGAAGAGCAAGCAACAGATACAAGTTGACTGATTTCTTTCTTTTTTTTTTGGTGCCACTCTTTTTTCCTGCTTAACTAAAACATTACTTGGTTTTAAGATAAATTAATAGCTTTTGCAATCAACTACTGCTGTATTTTCTTACTACTATAACTCACATTTCACCTTGAATTAACATATAAAATATGTGAGGTGAACATTAAAATGTTTACCTTAAACACTAACAACATGTATGAATATAGCATGGCTTGTTCACATTACTGATACTGATAAGAAGATGAAAACCTCTGTGATCAACGGTCAAGCAAACAAAAATGTGTGTTCCAGGAGTTCATCTTTTCAGCTAAAAGCCTTCTCTTGTAAATGAAGCGGAAACTAGACAAATTTCTCTGATTTGTCCCTATTGTAGAATTTTAGCTGAGAATGTTATGTTCCCATTATGAAGCCTTGTAAATCATATTTTAAATTATGAACAATATTTCCTGCTTTATTCCCTGCTAATTTCAGTCTGAAATAGTATTAGCTTCCTGGTGATCTTAATAAACTTTTTTCTAGAGGAGTTGACTTTGATGAATACCTTGGATTACCAATCAAGAAATAGGTAATGAAAGTAAGGTTTTCTCATTAACTACATTATAACTACCTTATAAAGAATGTAAATTAGTACTAAAATTCTCATGGTTAAAACAAAATTTTAGCAAAGAAGCCAAAATCAAATTTTTTTCAAGAAAAAAAGACAGGAAAGGCAGAATTAATTACCTTTCATTAAAAATTATTTTAAATGCAACTGTCAAATTGTAAGTTAACATTTGTTTTCAGGTTGCTAGTTTGCAATTATTTCCATTTGGGTTTTTTTTAAATAAACAGTTACAAAACAAGTTTGTTACAACAAGACAAAATGAACAACAGTTCTAAATAAGACAAAAATTAAGGATCACCATCAAACTTGAAAATCCTTTGCATTAAATTACTACACTATGAAAGCAGACATTACCAAAAGATCTACCCATCAAAAGTAGTGTGGAAAAAAATTTTTAAATAATAATAATACCTTAAAGTATATCTACTAATACTTCATTCCATAGTCTAATAATTTGCATTCTTTTCCCATGGGATTTTTTTTCTACTCATTCACAGCTCATTACTGCTAAAAAATGCCTGCTGTGTTAAAAATGCCACATAAAATTATATATCATTCACTGCTTTATGCTATACCTTCTTTTGTTCAGGTCCAATTAGCATCAGGCTATCTCTCATTCATCAAACTTTTAGCTGAACACATTAAAGCATTTAGGAAAGCTTAAACAATTATAGCATTCCCTTAGCGATACTGAAGTTATACTAGAGAAAAGTGCTCTCATAAAGAAGTACTGCATAAACATTTTAAATCTAACTTTCTCATGCTTTCTTTCCTTAAACCAACTTGCTGACCACAATAGACCTAACAATATTTTATTTTATTCTGGGTTTTTAGGCTTTGAAAAACAAAAAATTATAGGGAATATTGTGATGCTTCCACTTTTGCTTACTACAACAGTAGTAAATAGACCGTTCTAAAATTTGAAGATGACTTTTGCGGACCAAAAGAAAATTAAACTTCACATTTTTTTCTACTTCAGCCAAAATCCAATCTGTATTCAAACTAAGTAAAAACATACTTACAGAACTAGCATCAACATCACTGTGGATGGCAACTGTCTTAATGCCCATCTTCTTGCAAGTTTTAATAACCTATTGAAAATACATCAGTATTATTTATTAATATTCATATTTAGAGGAACAATTTCATAGAATGAAACGGAAAATAATTTAAATGCTACTCACCCTACATGCAATTTCTCCTCGATTAGCAATAAGAATTTTATCAAAAGTCTACAGAGAGAAAAAAATAGAAAATCTTAATCTTATTTTGGACCAAAAAAAAACCATTTTTCTACAATTAACAATAGATATCTTAGTGAAAATTTACTTCCAAGAATAATATTAAATGTTATAAATTTAATATGTTTTTTTTTGGGGGGGGGGCCGGTCATGGGGCCTGAACTCTGGGCCTGGGTGCTGTCTGTCCCTCAGCTCTTCAGCTCAAGGTTAGCACTCTACCACTTGAGCCACAGTGCCACTTCCGGCTTTTTTCTTTTTTGCTTATGTGGTGCTGAGGAATCGAACCCAGGGCCTCAGGCATGCAAGGCAAGCACTCTACCACTGAGCCATCTTCCCAGCCCTTAATATGTTTATTGACAATCAGAGAACAATTAAATTCTGACCTCATTACTTTGTTAAAGCATCTATTGACTAGGTTAATTTATTCATTAATGGACTGATAATCATCAATCAGTAATAAGTTAACTTACTGATAAATTCTCCTGACAAAAGCAAATCTTCAAGTAATATTTTAGAAAAATAAGTTTCTATTGAAAGTACTTTGTAAGTTAGAGGTAATGGCTCAAGCCTGGAATCCTAGCAACTTTTGAGACAGAGATTGGGTTCAATGCCATCCCAAGCATAAAAGTTCATATCCATCTCAACCAATGGATGGACTCAGTAGTGTGTGCCTATCACTCCAAGGACAAAGAGAAGCACAAATAGGAAGACTAAAATCCAGACCAACTCAAACACAAAGCAAGACTCTATCTCAAATACAGCCAATGCAGCTGAGTGCCAGTGGCACATACCTGTACTCCTAGCAACTTGGGAGGCTGAGATCTGAGGATGATTTGAAGCTAGACAAGAAAGTCTCTGAGACTGTCATCTCCAATTAACCACCAAAAGCCAGAAATGGAGCTGTGAGCCAGGTACTGGTGGCTCATGCCTATAATCCTAGCTACTCAGGTGGCTCAGAACTGAGCATCGCAGTTCAAAGCTAGCCCAAGCAGAAAAGTACGTGAGACTCTGATCTCCAATAAACTACTAGAAAACCGGAAGTAGCGCTGTGGCTCAAGTGATAGAGCACTAGTCTTGAGCTGAAGAACTCAGGGACAGTGCCCAGGGCTAGAGTTCAAGTCCCACAAACAACAAAAAAAGAAAAGAAGGAAGGAAGGAAGGGAGGAGGAAGGGAGGGAGGGAAAGAAGGAAGGGAGGGAGGAAGGGAGGGAGGGAAAGAAGGAAGGGAGGGAGGGAGGGAAAGAAGGAAGGAAGGAAGGAAGGAAGGAAGGAAGGAAGGAAGGAAGGAAGGAGGGAAGGAGGGAGGGAGGGAGGGTGGGAGAAAGGAAGGAAGGAGGGATTAAGAAGGAAGGAAGGAAGGAAGGAGGGAAAGAAGGAAGGAAGGAAAGAAAGAAAAAAGAAAGAAAGAAGGAAAGAGAGTTGTGACTAAAGTGGTAGAGCACTAGCTTTGAGCACAAAAGCTCAGGGATGTGGCTTAGTGGTACAATGCTTGCCTAGCATGCATGGAGCCCTGGGTTCGATTCCTCGGTATCACATAAACAGAAAAAGCCAGAAGTAGCACTGTGGCTCAAGTGGTGGCGCACTAGCCTTGAGCACAGAGAGGCTCAGGAACAGACCCAGGCCCTGAGTTCAAGCCCCAGGATTGGTAAAAAAATAAATAAAATAAAATAAAAGCTCAGAGACAACACCAAAGCCCCGAGTTTAATCCTCAGGACAAGCACAAAAAAAAAAAAAATTTAAAAAATTAAAAATTTTTTAAAAAGGAATTGGTGGAGTGGCTTCAGTTATAAGACAGCCTGCTTAAAAAGCTTGAAGCTAGGGGCTGGGAAGGTGGTTCAGTGGTAGAGTGCTTGCCTTGCATGCATGAGGCCCTGGGTTCAATTCCTCAGCACCACATAAGCAGAAAAAGCCGGAAGTGGTGCTGTGGCTCAAGTGGTAGAATGCTAGCCGAGGGACAACATCCCGGCCCAGAGTTCAGACCCCACAAACAACAACAGCAACAACAAAAGCTGGAAGCCATATTTTTCAAAAGGTCAACAATCAATAAATACATGGAAAAAAAAAAAAAAAGCTTGAAGCCCTTACTTCAAATCTAGTACCCATTCCCTCAAAAAAAGTGCTAAAAAAAAAAAAGCTGGGAGCCAGTGGCTCATGCATGTAAGCCTAGCTACTCAGGAGGCTCAGATCTGAGGATCACGGTTCAAAGCCAGCCCCGGCAAGAAAGTCCGTGAGACTCTTATCTCCGATAAAAACCACTAGAAAACTGGAAGTGATGCTGTGGCTCAAGAGGTAGAGCGCTTGCCTTGAGCTGAAGAGCTAAGGGACAGTGTCCAAGCCCAGAGTTCAAGCCCCACGACCAACCAAAAGAAAACCACTGAGCACCTGTGGCTCACACCTATAATATTAGTTACTCAGGAAGTTGATATCTGAGGATCACAGTTTAAAGCCAGCCCGGACAGGAAAGTAGTGCAACTCTTACCTTTAAGCACCAAAAAGCCAGAAATGATGCTCAAATGGTAGAGCTCTACCCTTGAGCACAAAAGCTCAGGGACAGCACCCAGGCCCTGATTCAAGCCTCAGGATCAGCGCAAAAAAGATAAAAATTAAAAATGCTTAATAATTTACATGACTATTTTCTAAATTCTGGAAAATCCTTACTGTTATCAGTTGTCCATAAGAAGAAAGTCTAATAAGTATAACTGATATGCCATCTCTGTTACAGTGGGATATAATTTCAATAATTCCACACAGGTACCAATTGTGCTTCTATCCAAAGATACCACCCCAAATAGATTATGTCTTTTGAAAACAATGTTAAGTCTGACTATCAAATTCGGAAGATAAAGAGTCTCACAGACTTTCCTGACCAACCTTGCTTCAAACTTCAATCCTCAGATCTCAGCCTCCTGAGTATGGAGGATTATAGTGAGCTACTGATTGCTGGCCTTGTTTTGTTCTTTGGTTTGTGTGTTTTCATCTGTCAGCACTTTCCCTTCCCCATGCTTAAATGCCCACTACTGCAGTAAAAACCACTTCTGGCATGTCACCTATTCAGAGACCAAGAGGACTGAGTTGGTCAGTCCTCCTGGGACCTTGGTCCTTTCTTTTTGGATAATCTCATCTCTCCTTAAGAGAAAGCAAGATGTCTGTCCTTATCACTAGCCCCCAGCAGTATTCAAGAGATCATTCAAAAACATAAGACCCCTTTGTATATCACCTTGACAATAAAATTAAATTAAAAAAATAGGACAATACAGAGGATCAACTGGAATAAGGGAAAGAAGATCCAGACCTGGCAAATCTGATGACATACTTCAAACTCACACGTGCTGAATGAAGGTGGGTCAACCAGAGTTACCCTGGCACCTTATGGCAAACAAATGATACACCAGGACTCCTGCTCTGTGCTTCTGATATAAAGATGCATTTCTTTTGGCAGGAGAGTTTTCTTATCAGAAAAGTTTTCTGATCCATAGTGTACTGTGATATGAGTATCACTGTTAACTTAAGACTTTTGCATAGGTAAATTTGTGATTCAGGGTAGTGATTAGGCTTGATTTCATTTGTAAAATGGAAATGTTATCAGAACTGATTTCATAGACTATTGTGCTTGTAAGTAACTATTATGTGAAAAATATATCATGGTTGGTGTGTGAAAGCTGTTTAACATTATCCTCTGGAACTTGCAGAATTTGGGCACTGTCCCTTAGTTTTTTTGGGGTGTTTTTTATTGGTTTTTTTTTTTTTGGTTGGTCATGGGGCTTGAACCCTGGGCTTGGGCACTGTCCCTGCGCTTTTCAGCTCAAGGTGAGCACTCTACCTCTTGAGCCACAGCGACACTTCCAGTTTTCTAGAGGTTTATTGGAGATAAGAGTCTCATGGACTTTCCTGCCTGGGCTGGCTTTGAACCATGATCCTCAGATCTCAGCCTCCTGAGTAGCTAGGATTACAGGTATGAGCCACTGGTGCCCGGCCTGTCCCTTAGTTTTTTTTTTGTTTTTGTTTTTTTGTTTTTGTTTTTTTTTTTTTTGCATCCGGTTGTGGGGCCTGAACTCTGGGCTTGGGTGCTGTCCCTCAGCTCTTCAGCTCAAGGCTAGCCTACCACTTGAGCCACAGCCCCACTTCCGGCTTTTTTTTTCTTTTTGTTTATGTGGTGCTGAGGAATCGAACCCAGGGCCTCATGCTTGTAAGGCAAGCACTCTACCACTGAGTCCCCTTCCCAGCCCCTGTCCCTTAGTTTTTGCACTCAAGAATGGCACCCTTCCACTTGAGCCAAAGCTTCATTTCTGACTTTTTTGGTTGTTAATTGGAGATAGTCTCATGGACTTCCCTGCCTGGACTATGAACAGGAAGCCACAACCCAGCTTGTTTAATATTATCTTTAATTCAATTTTGCAAATTTGTCTACCAATGTTCAAAACATCAAGACAGTGGACATAAACTGGGAGCAGTTGCAAGCCTACTTTTCCAAAGCTGGTGGATGGATATGCCCATCATGCTATACCCTACCTCAGAATTGCTCAGTGAACGGCTCAGCTTTGGAGTTCTGTCATTACTTCTTCACCAATACCTAGTACATTCCTAGGTATTGGTGGGGTTTTTTAATTATTTTATGTTTTTGTTTGTTTGTTTGTTTGTTTGTTTGTCAGTCCTGGGGCTTGAACTCGGCCTGGGCACTGTCTGTCCCACAGCTCTTCCACTCAAGGTGAGCACTCTACCATTTGAGCCACAGCACCACTTCTGGTTTTCTGGTGGTTTAGTGGAGATAAGAGTCTCATGGACTTTTCCACTCCAGACTGGCTTTGAATCACTGTCCTCAGATCTCAGCCTCCTCAGTAGCTAGGATTACAGGCGTGAGCCACCAGCACCAGGCTTACGTAAGTATTAATAAAAAATTTTTTAAAAAGTAAGTAAAAGTCACTCATGGTAACACACATCTATAATCCCAGCTACTCAGGAGGTAGAGGCAAGTGGATTAAGGTACAAGGCTGGCCTGAGCAAACAAAACGAGAAATTTTATCTGAAAGAACAGAATGTATGCCTAGCACATACAAGTCACTGAGTTCAGGCCCCAGTACCTAGCAAAAGGAAAAGAAAACTATTACAATGTAGCTGCTTGACAGGATTATTAAATACTTACTTTTTCATTGGGGTCACATCCTCCTGAACCCAGGCTACGGGACAATACCAGGCACTGTCTTGAATAGGGTAGAACATGCTATTTAAAAAAGGAGAGAAAGAAAACGAATTAGATTCTTCCTAAATATGTATAAAAATATTTTTTCAGGGTGATTTTTCTAGTTCTAAACTATTTTATCAGTCAAAGGTAGCTTAAGCAAAATACCTTAATTATGAAAAAAATCATAACTACAAACATATTTCCTTAGCATACAAAAGAAACTAGAGGCATCAAAACAGCAACCACAACAATTTAATACAATAGTAAATGGGTCAAGTAAATCCAAAGAAAGATCTTCCTAAACATTCACACTGATAGTACAAGGTCAGATATGTCACAAACAACTCTTCAAAATACTAACAAGGGCTAGGGGAACGAAGTACTTGGCTAAGATTAGGAAGAGGGGGAGCTGGGAAGGTGGCTCAGTGGTAGAGTACTTGTCTTGCATGCCTGAGGCCCTGGGTTCGATTCCTCAGCACCACATAAGCAAAAAGAAAAAAGCTGGAAGTGGCTCTGTGGCTCAAGTGGTAGAGTGCTAGCCTTGAGTTGAAGAGCTGAGGGACAGCACCCAGGCCCAGAGTTCAGGCCCCAGGACCGGACCAAAAAAAAAAAAAAGAGAAGGAAAGGGGAGGGAAGAGGGAGAGGGGGAGAGGGGGGAGGGAAGGAGGGGGGGAGGGATGGAGGGAGGGGGGGAGGGAAGGAAAGATACAAAAAGAAGGGATAAAAGGACAGAGGGGGAGAAACACTACATGAGAGAATGACGCTTACCACAGAGAAAGAACTCTGGGGAAAGAATGGACAAGCTTAAGTACTAATTATAAGTACTAACTAAACTGAGTACTAACTCAGTCTCACAATATCTCTACAACTGAAGCAACCTACTTTGAATCTCTCAGCTCTCTACTAGAAAAACAAAAGCTCAGGTGACTTTTCACCAAGGTCTCTTACTGAGAAAGTCATTAAAAAAATTCTAAACACAAGGCACATGAGAGCTCTGAGAATTTACCTGAAAACATGAATCAAATGGATGCTATGTTTACTCTCAAAAACTATCAGTATATAAAATACACTTAAAAAAAAATCTATAGCACACAGCTCTAACTAATTTAATCTATTATAAGTGATACCAGACCAAACAATAGATGTGCCAGTATGCCTGAGTGAAATGGAGTTCCTTTTTTTCTTAAATTTTTTCATTACTATTTTTACGTACTTGCTTTCGATTATCTAAGAAACCATATAATGGTTGGGAAGGTGGCTCAGTGGTAGACTGCTTGCCTTGCATGCATGAGGCCCTGGATTTGATTCCTCAGCACCACGCAAGCAGAAAAAGGCAGAAGTGGTGCTGTGGCTCAAGTGGTAGAGTGCTAGCCTTGTGCTGAAGAGCTGAGAGACAGGGCCCAGGCCCAGAGTTCAAGCCCCACGACCAACATAAATAAATAAATAATAAAAAGAAACCATATAATGACAACTTTATCAAAAAAAAAAAAAGAGGACAAGTTGGATGCTGATGGCTCACACCTATAATCCTAGCTACTCAAGACACTGAGAGCTGAGGATCACAGTTCAAAGCCAGTCCAGGCAGGAAATTCCATGAGACCTTTATTTTCAATTAACTACCAGAAAACCAGAAGTGGAGCTATGGCTCAAAATGGTAGAGAACTAGCCTTGAGCAAAACTTCACAGGGACAGCACCCCAGCTATGAATTCAAACCGCACAAACAGATTGTAGAATTATGCAGTTGTGAAAATGTGGCCCAAAGTTTTAAAAAGCATGGAGGTACCTAGTAACACAAAGTAGAAATTATTAAAGCAAAAAGAACAGCAGAACAAGTTTTACTCAGGTAAAACAAGGATGTGAGCCCTTTCCATAGCAAGCTTGAACTGGTTGAGTCAGCATAATAAAACCTGTTTGTTTACTCTTGACAAGACTTCCCATAAATTTGAAAATGAAAAATTCAAAGCTAGCTGTGGTAGCACAAGCCTATAATCGTAGCCAGTAGGAAGGCAGCGATTGGAAGGACTAAGATTCATGGTCAGCCAAGACAAAATGTTACTTAGACACTGAAATACAGATATTGATCTAACTAGTGCCATCCTGGCAACTTGGTGGATGATGAAATTCCACCCCCACCCCCAGGTGATAAGCATGCCTGAATTACTAGAAGCAGAAACAAGGTTCCAGGACCTGCCAGATCTGTACCATGAACTCTCCAGACCCCTGTGACCTTCCTCCCTAACCCTGACCCTATTTAGGCCCCACCACCTCAGCTGCCATTGCACCATGCCTCACGACTCCTATCTCTTCTCAGGCCACCATGGCAACCTTCTTCAACTCTCCATTGGTCTGATTTGTTGAGATTGTTGTTCTGCTCTTTCTTTACTACCCTCATGGCTCCGTTTCCTAAAGAACTGAGTGGACTGGAGGCTGCAAGTTTTTTAGGGGGGACATGAGTCTGCCTGCAGTCACTGGCTTTCTAATAAAGACTCCCCATTCAACCTCTAAAAATGTGGCTTCTCTGTATCTAGTAATCGAATTGCCCTATGACATCATCTCAACAAATATGTCAGACATGGTGGCACATAGCAATCCAATCTATGTGGAAGGAGGCATAGATAGGAGGGCTCCAGGTCAGAGGTCAGTCCCTCAAGGGAAAAAAGTAAGTCCTTACCTTAAAATCAAGGCAAAAATGGCTGTGGTACAGCAATCAAGTACCTGAGTTCAAACTCCAGTACTACCAAAATTAGTAAGTGGGTGGATGGGTAGACAGACATACAGATAAATAAAATTCTAACAACAAAAATTCTGAGGATACTGGGTTCAGTGGCCCATATCTATAATTCCAGCCCTCAAGAGGCTAAAGCCTAAGGCTCAAGGCCATCTTGGGTAATTTAGACCCTATCTCAAACTAAAAAAATAAATAAATAAAATAAAATAAAATTAAGCTTAACTAAGTTCCAGTAGCTCAGGTATGTAATCCTAGCTCCTCTGGAAGTTGAGACTTAGAGAGAACATGGTTTGAAGCCAGCCTAGACACAAAAGTTCTCAAGATACCATCTCCAATTAACCAGCAAAAAGTCAGGCTGCAGACATGGTTTAAAAGATAGAGTACCAGCTAGGGGACAAAGCTGCCCTGAGTTCAAACCCTGAGTTCAGCCTAAGGCCCTTAGTTCAAACCCTGGTACCAGAACAAGAAAAAAAGTTACAAGGAAAAAATTTTAATCAACTTTGAGACTACCATAGACAAAAGAGAAAAGTCGGTATGTACAAAATGACTCCCCAATAACATACTACCATTATTCCCTTCCTCAGGAAGAAAGATGTCCTACATTCCTCACACTTGGAAAAGGAATACCTATTTACATCATGGCCCAGGAGAAGTGCTGGGACCCCCACGCAGTCAAAGGACCTGGGCCAACTCCTAGCTCCACCATATCATATCCACAAGACATGAAGCAAATCATTTCCTGAAGCCCCAGTTTTCATCTAGAAAATGTAGCTGATGACACCTCCTGGCTTTCCCGGATGTTTATTACAAGGATAAAATGATCATCAACAACAACAACAACAAAAAGAGTTACTCTTGGTTCTTCCTGGTTCCTCCATTATTTGTGTATTTCCCTCCTAACCCAAAGCAAGTAGTTTTGGATTGAGTTTTAAAATAACATCCCAAATCTGACCAATTCATCTACTCTGGCACTATTACCCAAACATAAGTGACCACCATCTCTAGCTTAAGACTTCTCCAGCAGCCACCTGACTGCTTTCCCTGCTTCCACTCTCCCCACAAATCCCAATGAGACATTCCTCACATAGTGGGCACAGCACTTTGCGTCTTTCGTGTGTGTGTGTGTGTGTGTGTGTGTGTGTGTGTGTGTGTGTGTGTGTGCGTGCACGCGCGCGTGTGTGCATGTGTGCATGTGTGCGCATGCGCGTCAGTCCTGGGCTTGATCTCAGGGCCTGAGTATTGTCCCTGAGCTTTTGTGCTCACAGCTAGCCCTGGAACCACAGCTCCCTTCTGGCTTTTGGGTGGTTAATTGGAGATAGTTTTGTGGGGCCAGAAGTGGTGGCTCACGCCTATAAACCTAGCAACTCAGGAGGCTGAGATCTGAGGATCACAGTTCAAAGCCAGCCCAGGTAGGAAAGTCTTTGAGATTCTTTTTTTTTTTTGTAGGTCGTGGGGCCTGAACTCAGGGCCTAGCCACTGTCCCTCAGCTCTTCAGCTCAAGGCTAGTGCTCTACCATTTGAGCCACAACGCCACTTCCAGCTTTTTCTGCTTATGTGATGCTGAGGAATCGAACCCAGGGCCTCATGCATGCAAGACAAGCACACTACCACTGAGCCACCTTCCCAGCTCAGTCTGTGAGACTCTTATCTCCAATTAACCACCAGAAAACAGGAAATGGCATTGGCTCAAGTGGTAGAGCGCTATCCTGGACAACACCCAGGCCTAGAGTTCAGGCCCCACGACCAACCAAAAAAAAGGTTTTATGGGCTTTCCTGCTAGCTTCAGAGATCCTCAAATCTCAGCCTCCTGAGTAGCTAGGATTATAGGCATGGCATGAGGCACAGATGCCTGATTTAGCAGTATAAGGAAACACCCACCTCCCAGACCTTATCTCTGCCCTTGATGGCAGCACCTGTGCAATAGGTGAGTCACCTCCCACTTCCGTCCCGGGCATAAAAGGAGCCTCTAAGGAGCCAGATACCACCATTATCTCCCTTTCCTCATGAGAACTTGGCCTGTCAGCTCTGCTGGCAATAAATCTTTCCTTCTACTTGACTTCTGTCCGTGTGGTCTTTTGGGTTATTTTCTTTGGGTTACTTCCTACCCAGGTTTACATTTTCTCCTTCAAGCAGTCTTTTCAAAATGTAAATCTTTTAACAGGATTCCCATTATTATATTCCAAATAAAGCCCCAAGGTGACTGTGCTGCTTCCCTTTCCTACTAACATCCCCTCTAATGAACTTTATTCCATCCATCCTAACCACATCATACCAAATACAACCTTGATTGTAAAATGCAATCTCACCTTC